TGCCAAGAGGTCAAAGAAAGAAGCAGACAAACCCAGATTACACAAATGAAATTTACTAGGGACAGAAGCATGTCTTAGACAGAAGCAGGACAGGAGGGTCCCTGCACTCCAAGGCGGGAGGAAGAGGATTCTAAGCTAGACAAGAGTAGGAATCAGCCAACTCTAATGTACCTGGGCTTTCCCCAAAATCATTAAATATCAAATATCAGTTATGAAACAGCCTGGACCATGGCACAAAATGCTGAGCATCTTAATGACTGTGTTTATCCTACAGAGTTTGGACTATGTGCCAGGATCACTTGGTGGGAAATAGTGGTTATGACCAGGTCAGCTACAGCCAGGTTAAGCTGGATTCCTACACCTTACAAGAGACACAGGGACACAGGCACAGAAGAGGAGAGTGGCATGTGATGGTGGAGGCAGAGACCGTAGCGCTGCAGCTGCCACCAGCCAAGGAGTACCAAGGGTTGTCAAGAAACCGCTGGAAGCTCAGGAGACAGGGAAGAATTCTCCCTGACAAATTCAGAGGGAGCGCAGTCCTGTCGACACTCTGATTTTGGATTTCTAGTTTTCAGAATTGTCAGACAACAAATTTCCATACTTTAAGTCATCAAGCTTGTGGTATTTTGTTACAGTAGCCCAAGGAAACAAATAGGTACATTTGAGGGAGACTCAATAAAGCAACTCTTTACAGTGATGTGGGAGAGTCTGCAGAGAAACTATAGGGAAGGCTCAGGACCCTGAGATAAGAAACAAGGCCTTAAAGGCCTAAAGGAGCAGAGAAGGGCGTAGTTACCAGAATCTGGAAGAAAATCACCTGGAGAGAAGCCACCCTACAGAGCCAATGACCTTGGGTCAAGGGCACTGTCAACCACAAAGAGGAATAAATTACCTAATTTCACTGTTCTCCCACCTCTTGAGACACCCTAGGGTGTCAACTTGTAGTCCTGACAAGTCAGCATTCTCGGGGGTAAGTGATGGGTGAAGAAGGGGTGCACTGCACGAGAACGAAACATATGTGACATATTTTTTTGCAGCAACATTCCTTTTCCTGAGCACTACTGATCCTCTTCATTTTTTTTTTTTTTTTTTTAGAAAAACAGTACTTACCATCCCTGAAGTATTGTCTATCTTTTTAGTTTCTTATCTGTTCACCTAATTACTATCCTACCAGAATACCCTCCATGAGGGCCTGGACTTTGTTTCGTTCACTACTATATCCCCACCACCAGGAACAATTCCCTGTGTGGGAACAGCTTCAATAACTATGGGAGAATGAATAAATTGTTTGAAGCCTGACATTTTCATATTGGTCCTATGCTTGTATAGAGTTTGTGCCTCCAGGGCTTCATGTGTTGAAATTTAGTCCCCATCTTGAGGTATTATTAAAAGGATAGAAACTTTAATCTATGGTATTTAGAGCTGGGGTTTTGGGGAGGTGATCAGGATTTGGTAAAGTCATCACGATTGAGTATTTTGACTTTATGATAGAGATGAGAACTCCCTTATCTCTTGCCATATGATGCTTTTGATGCTTCAGACCTCTATTAATAAAAGCAGTCATTAGTTGAAGCCTCTAAAACTTTCACTTCCAGAACCACGAGCCAAGATAAACCCCTTTTCTTTACAAACTCACCCAGCCTCAGCTGTCCCATTATAGTAATGGACTAAACCACTTCCTATTTTCTGGGCCAGCACCCGCTGCCTATCCTCTTACTCATCCTCTCCACTGAACTATTTGACTGATAGCCAAAGATGCAAGCAAAGTTGTTTGGCTTGTTACCAAGCATTTGGTATCAGTGACTCCCTCCCATCATTTTGTCTTGCTTAACAACTGCAGAAGGGAGGTATGACACACAAGAACAAGCACTGCTCATTGGTGGCCTTTGTTATGGTACAGGGAGAGGTCTTGTTACCTAGCATGTGAGCTGTGGGGCTCTGGGCTCAAGCAACTACATCTCACAAGAACCCACACAGTCTACCCAACTTGTTCTAGTAGGTCAAAAATGAGTGTCTGGCATGTAGCTTTTCTAAAAAGTAAAGCAAAACACAACACACACACACACACACACACACACACACACACACACACACACACACACCAATCTTATTTTGTACTGTTCTTTTTTTGTTTGGTTTTGGTTTTGGTTTTGGTTTTTCTCCGGTACCGGGAAGCTAACTCACGACCTTGCGCTTGCCAGGCAGGCGCTTTGCCGCTGAGCTAAATCCCCAGCCCCTGTACTGTTCTTTAGAAAATATTGGGAGAACATTTTTTGCCACAACTATTTGGGGGACTATATTCTTGTATATTTCTAAAAGCATGCCCTCAAAGGGGATATAGGGTTCCTGACCCCTTCCTATCTCTTTACTTCCCATTCCCCATGAGGTGAGCAGCTCTACCACAATGCCCTCCTGCCCCTCATGATACACTGCCCTGCCACACGGCCAAAGCAATATGGACAAACAAACATGAACTGAAATTTCTGTAACCACGAGCCAAAGTAAATCTTTACTCCTTGTATCTCAGGTATTCTGACTGAAGTCTAAAAAGAGTATTAAGCACAGATGAGGCATTAATGGTTTACGGTTTAAAAAGCCCACTCTGGATGCTAAGGACATTGGAAAGGGTTAGAAGTTGAAAGACCAGCTGCAAAGCAGGTGAAGGATGATGACTTAGTCTATGGTTGTGTAAGTGGAAAATGTGAAAAATGGCTGATTTAGGGACACAGATTGGAAAGTAAAATTGACGGGACATGACAACATACTGGATGCAGTGGTTGAGTAGGGTAAATTGAGGAAAGACAGTGACTTAGGTGTGAAGACAAAACTTCAGCTGAGTACCTGGGCAGATGGTGATGCCATCAAATAAGATGGGGGAAACAAAGAGAAGCAGTTTGCAGGGTGAAGGGGTGTCCGTGGCAAAGTCAACTGTTCCACTGGAATATGTTATTTTTCAAAGGCCTGCCATGCTTTAAATGAAAACACTGGTTAGGTAGTGTCTTACTATTCTCGTTGCTGAGACAAAATACCCAACACCCACAAGTTAAAGAAGAAAAGGTTTATTTCAGCTTACAGCTTGGAGAAGTTTCAGCCCATAGTCGGCTATCTCCAAGACTGGGCTTCATAGCAAACAGGCACGGCAGAGGAGAAACAGTTCAAAAGCACGGCAGGCAGAAGGCAGCAAGCAGCAAGCCTCCGGTTCCTTTATCCCATCCAGGCTACAAGCCTTTTGCATGGTACCACTCATACCCAGGCAGAGCCCTCCCATCATGCACACTTAGATCTATGCTAAACCTTTCAGTGACTAATTTAGTCATCAAAACCTTACTCTGTATCACACACCCTTCCTTAATCCACATTCATACACCCTATATCCAGCCGCCTCTGAAAGCTCCACCTATGAGGACATGAGGCTTTGGGGGAGTACATCTAGACACAAGCCATAACAGGTAGTTAGTTAATTTATATCTAAGGGGAAAGGTCCAGGCTGCAGGTATTTCAACATAAGGGTCAAGATGAAATCACCTGTGATTAAAACTAGACATACAGGCAGGTAAAGAATGAGACATCCAAACATGGTCTGGGGAGATATGTGATGTGAAAAGGAAAATGCCTGCTGAGTGGAGAGGGAAGTTGGTCAGGGACAGTTTCGTGAAAGAATAATCTCCAAGCTTCTAAATCCGTGGAAAACCAAGTCCTATAGTAAGGATGCTGGCCTAGGGAGATGATCTGCAGTAGGTCACACAGATAATGACATGCCTGTTACTGTGTTTTACATTTCAACACTTTTAAGTCAAATATGTTATTAAGAGGCCCCTAGAAAAACCGGCTCCAGTTTTTCTGGTTGAGTTCAAACTCTGGCTCTGCCACAAACTAGTTGAGTGAGTGCATACACGTTACTCAACACTTCTATACCTCAGTTTCTTCACCTGTAAATGGGCGTACTACTAAGTGCTAACCGCTTATGGACTGTTTACTATGCTCTTGGTACTAAGATTTTATATGCTTTATACATTTCCCCTTCTAAAGATCAGTAAGCTGAGTGACATCATTACCTCCATTTTACTGTTAAGGAAACGGAAGCACATTCGCCAATTTCACTAACATTTACTGTGTGCCTACAATACACCAGGCAGGTCTCTTGGGTGCAGGGTACGGGTAAACAAAATGAAATTCATTCCTTTATGCAGCTTCGGTCTGTAGTTTAACGATGATAAACATAATAAATAAACAGGTACATTATATGGTAATCAGATGATAAATTCTATCGAAAAAATCCAGCAGGATAACGAAACTGGAGCTGTTGCGATTTTCAAGTAACCAGGGTAGACGTCACCGGAAAGACGACATTTGAGCAGAGATTACTTAGGGGGAGAGCGGCAGCTGCGAGGGTAAAGCGAAGGCCTCGCGGGCCCGCGCAGGAGGAGGGCCAGGCGAAGCGGCGGCAGGCGGCAGGCCGCCGGCTCCAGGCCGAAGAACTGTGACTTTTCCTCTGGTCCCAGCGGTGAGCTGGGGAACCCCCGGACAGCGCTGCCCAGGGCAGTGACGTCACTTGATCTCCGTTTTAAACCTGTTCTTCGGTTTGGGCCCGAGGTCCGGAGGCCGGTGAGAGAACACAAAACTCGAACCCAGGCCCGCGCCGCCGTCTGTGCCCAGGATCACGGAATCGGCCGACGACTGCGGTCACTGCGAGTCTTCCACTCACACTCCGCCCCGTCCAACGCCCTCCAGCTCCCCCGCTGCAGGCTCCACACCACTCACTCGGATCTCCACGTAGCGCTCCGCGAGACACAGATTGCGCAACACGCGCAGCTCGCCGGAGCCTGGACGCAGGCGGGGAGGCCGCGGGCGGAGAGCGCCGCCGGCAGCAGACCCTACCCAACCGCCCCGAGCGCCGCCGACGCCGGCAGTGTGCGCCTGCGCACGTCCGATCCCCGCCGCTGACATTCCAGAGCCTCCAAGCGCCCCGCCCCCAATTCCGGGACGCAGCTACCGCGCGCGCCTGCGCACAGCCTCGCCGCACCCTGCGCTTGCGCGCTTCGCAAGTCCGGCCCCAACCCCCAGGTTTTCCTGGTGGGGGGAGGGCGCACGTCTCGGCGAGTCACGATGATGGCGGCCACCATCCTGTGGTGAGGTAGCGGATTCTCTGCCGGTCTCGCGGACCACCGCCCCCCGCCCGTCCTGCGGACTCAGCGGCTGGCGCGTGCGGAAGTACGGCGGCCCGAGCTCCGCGGGAAGGCCGCAGTCGCGAGCGCAGCGGCGCGGCCCGGAG